TACAGGGCCTTGTGAACTTCCGTGTCCTGAGCCCTTAGCCCCCAGAAATCCAGCACCCTCCCTTTCCAGAAGCCCAGGCCCAAGTTCCCTGCCCCCCAGCCCTCCTGGCCCTTGTTTTCCTATTTTCTCAGGTCCCCATCCTGAACTTAGGTGCCCAGACCCTCAGCCCACCCCTTCTGGATTGCTGGCCCCAGTCCCCCAGGTTCCAGGCCCTGAGTGGGTGGGCGGGCCGGCGAGGTAACAGGTTGTGCCGGCACTGCCACCCGACCGTCCACTCCAGGTTTCTGTTTACTTCCCGCCCGGCTTTGGGGATGGGAGCCTGGTGGCACTCCCCTAGGGCCGCCAGGGCCCGCAGTTCAGGGGCTCCAGGACTCAGGAGGGAGGGGACACATGGGGCTTTCCTGGCATATTACCCCTCTCCAGCACTCCTGAGGTTCTCCACCCCCTATGCGCGCACACACATCTGTCCCTTCGCCTCCTCCCCTCGCCATGTGTCCGACCCTAGGCCTACTCTCAGGACCCAGGCATCAGCGGCAGTCCCAGCCCAAATGCCCCCCGGCCAGGCTGGGGGTCTCCCTGACGTGGTCTCTGCAGGCCCAACACCACTCTGGGACTCAGGGGTATCCCTCCTCCTCACCCCTCCCGGCACCGAGCTACCAGTTATTAGCACCTCAGCCCAGGCGTCAGGGTCCCCACGCCTCGACCCCCAACCCTAGGCGTCGTTAGCCCAGCCACCGCCTTCCTGCCTGCCTTCCTGCCCGCGTCCCCCGTTTCCCGGCCCCGGGAGTCCGGCCCGGCCGCTCCTGCCCCGCCCCATGCCCCACTCGCCCACTCTCTCCGGCCCGGTCCGCCCAAAACTTGAAGGGCCCCCATCCTCGGCGCCCCTTAGGCTCTCACCCGACGACGCCGGGCTCCCTCCGAGGTACCCGCGGCCCCGGTCCCCTCTTCCGGAGACGGCGCCAGGTGAACTGCCCGCACAGGTGAGGGGGCGGTGCCACGGGCAAGGCTGGGGCGCCCCCTGGTGGCCGGAATGGCCAGGTGGGGCCCAAAGAAAGTCGCCTCGACCCAGGTCAGAGCCAGTGACCCATCTTGCCGCCATCGGAAAACGACAGGGCCCATTAACTGACCACCTGCTGTGTGCAGACCCCTGAGTATATATGTCAGCTCCTTTCCCCTCACAACTTCCCTTGTGGGATAGGAAATTATTAACAATAACAACAAATCTAACATGTATTAATGCTAAGTAATATGCTAAGTAATAATATCTTCTTATATGGGGATAACTTCTTTACTTTCATGACATCCTAATGAAGCAGGAACTACTATTATCCCCATTTTACAGATGAGGAAACTGAGGGCCAGGGAGAATCTAACTTGCTTGGGGTCACATGGACAGAACTTGAATGTGAGCAGCACAAGTGTGACTTCAGGGTGTGTGCTCTTATGCTGATTCCCGTGCTGTAGGTGACAGCTAAAGTGACTTGCCCGTAACCACACCTTAGCCTGTGCGCCTCCCAACTTGAGGCTCTCAGTTCCCAGGCTGCACAGAGGCAGAGGCAGAGGTCTGGGTATGGAGAGTGGGAGGATCCAGGCCTGGGTTCTGGGGTCCAGCCCAGTGCAGCCTGGGCATGCGGGGGATGCCCCTGCCGTGGCCTGGTGGCTTGTCAGGAGTCTCCTCAGACTTCCAGGGCTCCCTGGGTCCCTGTAAAAGGGGTTCCTGTCCTGGTGAGTAGGGACAGATGGAGGGCTGGGAGCAATGGTATGCTGGTAACACTTTAACAACAGACTCTCTGGGGAAAAAGAATGCCCTGAGTTGTTGCTTTTGCCAATTTCTGTGCTGTAAGTACTCCCTCCAAAGCTGATTTCAAGCTACTGATGTGACATCCTTGAATGTGGAGATGGGCAGAAATGTCCATAATCAGCTTTTGCCAGCCAGTATCAGCTGGGTTCCCTGCCCCTCTGGCTGGGGGGGTCAGGGCTTCTGAGTCTTGGAGGACTGGAGTCCTATCTGGCTGAGTTTTAGAAAAACAGGAGGAAGATGGGAGCTGGGACTCCTGACTTGTGGGGAAATGGATGCAAGGATTCCTTGGAGGGATGGTTCGGGGGCTGGGACTACTGCGTCCGGGGCTGGGACAAGGTTTCCTGCCAGCACAGAGCAGGGGTACCAATTACATTGCAAAGGGGTCTGTGGGCTGCCTTGCCTGGCAAGGCTACTACATTCTCCCATAGCACCTGTGGGACAGCCTGGCAGACTTCAGAGGGCTGGAGACACCCCAGCCTTGCCTCGGTGCTGCCACCTAACTCCCTCCAAATACCAGGACCACCCGGGGCCCCAGGTGTAATGCACCCACACTCCACTCCCTGAGCCCCCCTCCTGCCAGGCAGGGGGTGGGCTCACCTGGAGATGAAGTGCTCAAGGCCCTACTCCCAAAGGAGGTTCACAGTCCACCCAGGAAGTTGGAGGAGGTGTAGACCTATAAACCAGAAAGGCACCAATAAAACAAACAGCAAAAGAGCTTGGCTCTCGGGTGCTGGCATCACATGGCTTCAATCCAAATTCCAGTTTGGTCACATGTCAGCTGTGTGTACCTGTGTCATTCAGCTGACTGGCCTCTGCAGCCCTCAGTTTCCCCATCTGTAAAACAGAGGCGATCACAGTTCCTAGCTTATGGAGTTCTGAGAATTCAATGAGGGTGAAGTACCAGCGCTTAGGCTGTGCTCATGATCCTCAGCAGGGCCCTAAGAAATGACTCACCACACGTATTACAATGCATTTCATCCTCACAGCAACCCTATTAAGTCATTGCCATTCACAGACAGGTTACCAGCTCAGGGAGGCAAAGTGATTTGTCTGTGGCTGCATAGCCGACCTCTCATCCCAGCTTGCCTGGTTCCCAGCCCCAGTCATTCTTTGGACATTTGAATCTGGCCTCCAGCCTCCCTGCTGGACCTGAGTCCTGGTCTCCAGCCCCTCCCCTGTCCCCCAGCTCCCCTCTCCCCAGCCTCCCTGCTGATCACAGGTGAAGATGGATAAGAGTGACAGAGTGGCCCCAGGGAAGCCCTAGGGATGCTGGGACATGTCCAGATAAGAGCAGGGATGATAATAACCCAGCCCTCTGGTCTCCAGCCACCCCCCAAGCAAGCCAGCTTCCTGGAGCCTCCAAGCTCTGGCTCGGCCCTGAATGCTCTCCCCAGCCTTCCTAACCACCTGGTGAGTCCTGGTGTCTCCTCCCTGGGGAAACCTCCACAGACTTCACAAGGACTTGGGCAGCCTTTGCTGGGCAGCGGAAGCCAGCAGAATGCCCCACCCCCTCCAGTGAGGCAACCCAGGGAATGGCGCACTTCCAGACCAAGGTGCCTCTGGGCTTTTACGACAGATACAGAGTCTATGAACAATAAGTAGTATTGTTTGGGGCATTTAAAACTTTCCTATAAAATGTTTTGCACTGAATACGTTGTTCTGTAACTTGCTTTTTTTCATTTAGCCTGATATTTCCAAGTTTTTTCCCAACTTAAAAAAAAAATTGACTTTATTGGTAGGTATTCATTCCCTAGGGCTGCCATAACAAATTTATGGCTCAAAAAACAGAAATGTATTGTTTCATAGTTCTGGGGGCCAGAAGCCTGAAATCAAGGTGTGGGCAGTGTTGGCTCCTCCTTGAGCCCCTGACGGGCATCTCTCCCACACTGCTCTCCCAGCTCCATGGTCCATCACCCAGAGCTCCCCGTGCTCCTTCCGCAGGTCTTATCCCCTGGAAACCACTGATCTGCTTTACTTTGCCTCTTCCAGATTGCTCTCTGAATGGAGTCTGTGGCAGTGAAAGCACCAACTCCTAACCACAGGACCGCTAGGGAAGTCCCTGCTCCTGGCTGCTTTGTCCCAGCATAATGCGATTCATCCATGTCATACATATCAGTGGAATCAATAGGGTTGAGAAGTTTCAAATCTAAAGGAAAGTTGCTGAAATAACACAATGAATACCCTCCACTTAAGCTCCCAATGGTGGACATTTTGCCACATTTGCTTTCTTGCTCTCTTACAGGACACACACTCGCACACATTTTACTAAACCATTGGCTACTTCACCTTGCATCTCTGAGGACGCAGATATCCCTCTACATAATCATGTACCATTATCACATGTGATCGACTGAACATTTCTCTTTAGACCCCTTTCATCTGAAATACTCCCCTTGCCTTCTTTTTCTTTCTTTTTTTAAATATTTATTTATTTATTTTGGCTGTGCCGGGTCTTAGTTGTGGCCCACAGGATCTTCTGTTGCGGCATGCATGCGGGATCTAGTTCTCTGACCAGAGATTGAGCCCAGGCCCCCTGCATTGGGAGCATGGAGTCTTACTCACTGGACCACCAGGGAAGTCCCACTCCCCTTGCCTTCTTATGTGTCTTTCGGGATATTGACTTTGGGGGGAAGAATACAAGCAGCTGTTTTCCAAAATGTTTCTCAGACTTATCCAGGATAATGTATTTAGATTTAGTTTGTTCTTAACAGCTGTAAGGTATTTCATCCAATGTTTATGCCCCGATTTGTTTCTCCACTCTCCTATCAATGAACACTTAGTCTTCTGGCACTTCTTCAACATTATAAACAATGTTCTAATGCACATCCTTGTACGTAGATCTCCATGGACACTTGGATGGAAATTTTATGCTGTCATCATTCTAGAAGTAGAATCAGTGGGGGGAGGTGTTCCAGTGATCTCTTGCTGGGTAATAACTATCCCACCATTTAGAGGCTTGGAACAGCAAGTTTTTTTTTTTTTAATTATTCTTTAGAACTTTTTTTAAAATTTATTTTTGGCTGCGTTGGGTCTTCATTGCTGCACGTGGGCTTTCTCTAGTTTTGGCTAGCGGGGGCTCCTCTTCATTGCGGTGCGCGGGCTTCTCATCGTGGTGGCTTCTCTTGTTGCAAAGCACAGGCTCTAGGCACACAGGCTCAGTAGTTGTGTCGCACAGGCTTCATGTGGGATCTTCCCAGACCAGGGCTTGAAGCCGTGTCCCCTGCATTGACAGGCGGATTCTTAACCACTGTGCCACCAGGGAAGCCCAGCAATTTGGTTTTCTCTCTCACAGTTTTGAGGGTTGGCTGGGCTCTGCCGGGATCTCATGCAGTTGCAGGTAAGATGGTGGCCGGGGCTGGAGTCGTCAGATGGTTTCTCCGCTCCCACGTCTGGCGCCTGGGCTGGCTGGCTGGGTCAGCTGGGACGAGATAGCGTTTCTTTCTTCACGCAGCCTCTGCATGCGTCTGCCTGGATTTCCTCCCAGCGAGGCTATCCCAGACTCCTCACGTGGCAGCCGACTTCCCCAAAAACGAGGTTCCAAGAAGCCTGGGCAGAAGCTGCCAGGCTTCTTAAGACTCAGAAGTTCCCAGAACCATCACTTCTACAGCATGCTACTGGTCAGGTAAGGCACTGAGTCAGCCCAGGTTCCAGGGGAAAGGAGTGGATTCCACCTCCCCACAGGAGGTGTAGAGAAGAATTTGCAGCCATCTTTTACCTACCACAGAGGTTATACTCTTCAGTTTTATTAAATATCGCCCAACCGGTTTCCAAAGGGTAGGTATGAATTTACACTCTGTAATCAGAAGTCCAACTCCATTTCTGATGTTTGCTGATAGCCTGAAAGCCTCAGGCTTCCCTCTTCCCTCTTGTGTCCCACATCTGGGCAAGCTGATAAGAAGGCCCTGATGCTTGCTCCCTTGCACAGGCAGGAAATTGAATTCAGGAAAGCCCTGGCCAGTGTGGAGGGGCCCTCAATCCAGCCTCACCCCCTAACCACAGTGAAAGCCCCTCCTCACTCTCTCAAGCCATTTCTGACCTGCTTGGGAATCTGCCCTGCTCCTCCCAGGAAGCCTCATTATGTGAGTCATCAATCTTATCCTACTCTCTGGCTATGTGTGACCTCATCAGTCTTCACCTCTGAACCAAATTTTGTGTGGAGGGTTTGATCCCATCATGGAGCAACCAGGAAGCACACTCCTATCGGCAGAGTGTGAGTTTCATCTAGCCTGTACCTAGCTAATACTTGGCATCATCAGACTTTTTAATTTTTGCCAATCCGATGACAAACATGGTGTGAGATAATAGAAAAAATATATATCGGTCTCTGCCCTCAGTTCCTGGTACAAAGCTCCTGAAATCCTTGTAAATGGGGATGCCAGGAGAAGTGAGGTTTTCATTAAGTTGGTGTCAGTGAAGTGGGATTTGCTAGAACTCATGGAAGCATGTGGCTTGGGAAGAGAAAGGATAAAAGGGCAGGGGATGCGGAGATTTTGATTCCTGGTGGCCATGTGGTCACCCATGGCCTGGAGAAGCAGCTGTGCTGTATTCAGGTACTAAAGGTAAAAGCTGGCAATGGAATTTAGGGATGGACCCAACTCCCAGGGAGTTGGTTCAATTGAGGCAGAAGGAAATGAAAACTACTAAGAAAACAGCAAATGATTCAATTGTTTATTGTTATTGGTAACAGCTAAAATGAAATTAAAAGAGAGTGCTGGGTGGAACATTGATACTGATCAGATTTTGGTGAGTCTGAGCTTTGGCCACTAGCCTAATGCCACCCGCTGAGGGAAAAGTCATGCAGGGACAACCATAAGAACCTCTGAGACCTCAGGTCACCAGGAAGGTAGTCAAGGAGAGGGAAGGGCAAAACCAAGAAACTGCTGAAAACAGGGGGACAGTGTGGAGGGCTTTTTTTCATTTCGTGGATCAGTATCATCACTTTCTTGAAGACCCTTTCTTGAAATGGATTGTGAGAGTAACTAGCTTAGGGGCTGTTCTTTGGTTTTGAGTCTGCAGAGTGGAAGGGCATGTCTGGGTTGTTCAGGACCCACAGCTCAGTATGAAAGAATCACAGATGGTTATAAGTGATCCAGACCCACAGGAGGTTATTCCCAAGGGAACAGCCAGCCTGGTAGACTGAATAAAAGCCACAGTAAGGTCTGATTACCCTGAGAAGGAGAACTATCCATCTCGCCCCATAAATGCCAAGTGGAACACTGCAGATGAAGTGGCTGACAACTCTGTATGCTAGCCACCTGGGGCTGGCTTTAAAATGACTTGAATATTCGCCCACAAAATACGCCCCTTACCCCAACCACCCTCTGGTTGGGGGGTGGCCCTTTTGCATGGGTACCCCACATAACCCGACTGCTGCAAAACTGAAAGACAGTTCAGGAAGCCTTATAAATCTGCGGTCCCAGCTCCCCCTCATGGGTCTTACTAAAGAAAAAAAATTAGGTTAATTAACAAGAAAATGGGGGGACTTCCCTGGTGGCGCAGTGGTTAAGAATTCACCTGCCAATTCAGGGGACATGTGTGTGAGCCCTGGTCCAGGAAGATCCCACATGCCGCGGAGCAACTAAATCCGTGCGCCACAACTACTGAGCCTGTGCTCTAGAGCCTGCGAGCCACAACTACTGAGCCCGCACGTGCCTAGAGCCTGTGTTCCACAAGAGAATCCACCGCCATGAAGAGTAGCCCTCCCTCGCTGCAACTAGAGAAAGCCCAGCAACAAAGACCCAACGCAGCCAAAAATAAATAAATAAATTTAGTTATTAAAAAAAAAATGGGGAAAGGCAGAGAGAATCAAGAGACAAGAGACAAGAGACAGGTCTTGGCAGGGTGAACATTTTTAAAGGGTTATTAAGAAATAAGGTGAATAAAACGAATATTAATAGGAATGAAACAAAGAGGAAAACGTGAGGAAAGAAGGACTTCCTTGGTGGTCCAGTGGTTAAGACTCCATGCTTCCATTGCAGGGAGCACGGGTTCAATCACTGGTTGGGATCCGGGATCCCACATCCCGCATGATGCGTGGCATGGCCAAAAAACAAAAAAAATTAGGGGGCTAGCAACCTGGGGAGAAGTCGGACTCAAGTCCCAGAACCAGCTCTGGAGATTCTGCTTGGCCATGAAAGTTTTTAAAGGGGAAAAAGGGGAGGTAATCTCAGTTAATCACTGACTGTCAGTTTCTTTTTCTTTGACCGCACCTCGCTGGCAAGTAGGATCTGAGTTCATTGGAAGAGTGGAGTCTTAACCACTGTGCCACCGAGGAAGTCCCCTCAGTTAATCACTGAGATAGGGGGTCAGAATCATCACCATCTCCCGTTGGGTGCAGCCTTGTCGACTCCTTGTGATCTTTCTTTAGATGCCACCTTGTTCACACAGTTTCTTCACGAGATTACTGAAGGGGAAGCTAGGAAAAAGATCTAGTCATCTGCTAATTCCTTATTCTTCATTTCTATTTCTTTGATCTAAGGAAAGAATCAGGTTAGGCTAAGTGTTGTGTGATCAAAAGATTTGAAAGGTGTGCTTGGGCCGGAAGTTAGTTACAATATGGCTTTGCTAAAGTGACAAGACAAAAGGGACCTCCTGCAGAGAGCTCTTTCCTGCAAAGAGCTCTTTCCTGCAAAGAGCTCTTTCCTGCAAAAAGCTGCTTACAGATCCCATTGTCAGACATCACTGCATTTCTAAGGGATTAGGGGCGAAGGTCCATCTTCTGTAACTTCTTCCTGCTGATATAGGGTGTCGTAGTCTTAGAGTGGAAGATGCTGACATGCTTCTATAACATCTCTTTGCTGACAATTTTAGTTGCCCACTTACATATACGGGCCTAGCGAGCTACAATTTTTTTTTTTTTTGCGGTACGCGGGCCTCTCACTGCTGTGGCCCCTCCCGTCGCGGAGCGCAGACTCAGCGGCCATGGCTCACGGGCGCAGCCGCTCCGCGGCATGTGGGATCTTCCCGGACCGGGGCACGAATCCGTGTCCCCTGCATTGGCAGGCGGACTCCCAACCACTGCGCCACCAGGGAAGCCCGCTACAATTATTTTGACGCCCACAAAGATACAGATTATTATGAGCAATAGTGTTAACCGCATTCTCTTGAGGCCAGTACTTGGAATTGTGCTAGCCAAAGAGTCAGTACTTCTCAAAATGGAGCAGCTTATGTCATGGCTGCAGTCTGGTCATCATGCTTTTTCCCTCTGGGGGACAGTTACAGTATCTGTAAAGCAACTCAAGAATGTGCATCAGACACTGAAAGATTCTATGACTCTATTGTCCTGATCATTAACTACTTGAGCCTGCCCTTTTGTGACTCAGGGAGGCTTGGGAGACTTCAGCTTTTCTACAAACAAGAGGCAGGGGACATTGGAAGGGCCTTTGTACTTGGGGGGAGGCGGGGGTACCGCAGTGTTCTGCTCGGTTTAAATTCCTCCCTTCTGCCTCCCCCTAACCCCACCCAAGCAACCACTGATCTGCTTTCTATCCCTCTAGTTTGGTTTGCATTTGCTAAATATAACTGGAATCATATAGCATGATCTATTTTTTTGTCTGCCTTCTTTTTTTGTTTTCCACATTAACTTTTTTTTCTTATTGTGGTAAAATACACATATATAAAATTTACTATCTTAACCTTTTTTTCTTTTTTTGCAGTACGCAGGCCTCTCACTGTTGTGGCTTCTCCCATTGCGGAGCACAGGCTCCCGACGCGCAGGCTCAGCGGCCATGGCTCACGGGCCCAGCCGCTCCGCGGCACGTGGGATCTTCCCGGTCCAGGGCACGAACCCGTGTCCCCTGAATCGGCAGGCGGACTCTCAACCACTGCACCACCAGGGAAGCGCTACCTTAACCGTTTTTAAGTGTACAGGTTGGCGGCATTACATGCAGTCACAATGCTGGGCAGAAATCACCACCATCATCCCCATAACTCCTTTCAGCTTGTAAAACTGAAACTCTGTCCCCATTAAACACAAACTACCCCTTCTCCCCACCCTTGGCCCCTGGCAGTCACCACTGTACTTTCTGTCTCTGTGAGTTTCAGTACTCTAAGTACCTCATATGAGTGGAATCCTGTAGTAGTTGCCTGCCATTAAGTCTTTTCAAGGACAGTTTCTGTTGATTTTTTTTTCCTTTGAACTGGCCATATTTCCTGTTTCTTTGTGTGCCTTGTATTTTTTTGTTGAGCACTGGGACATTTAAATCTAATAATGTGGTAACTCTGGAAGTCAGATTCTCCCCCTCCCCAGGGTTTGCTGTTTTTTGTTGTTGTTTGGGGGCTTTTTTTTTTTTGGAATGTTGTAGGCTGTCTCTGTGACTGAGGTGTGAACTTAATGTGTTCTTAGGTCTTTTCTGAGCCTTTCCTTGGGCACACGCAGTCACTTGCTAATTTTCCCCATAGATGCAGGTTTTTTGTTTTGTTTTGTTTTGTTTTAATGTTCTAGTCTTTAATGTCTGACTCCTGAAAGGGGAAAATCGTTAAAAGATGGGGATTAATACTCAATGCTCTGTGGTGACCTAAATGGGAAGGAAAAGGAAATCCAAAAAAGAGGGGATATATGTATATGTATAGATTCACTTTGTTGTACAGTAGAAACTAACACAACATTGTAAAGCAACTATACTCCAATAAAAATTAATTAAAAAAAAAAAAAGAAAGGGGTTATAAAGGGGTCCGGGGCCTTTAAATCCCCTGGCATTTACTTCAGCCAGATGGGCGGGGGCTGCAGCAGCGGGCGAGCTGCCACAAGAATGGCTGCCGCCCCTCGGTCTACAGCTCCCTGATCAGAAGCACTGATCAGTCTCAGCCGTCAGAGCCCAGATCCCCCATCTTCGGAGGACAGGGTCCTTTTTTGCTCACCTTCCTTCCTACAAGTTCTCCAGGTGGGGGATGGGCAGCTACTACTGAACTGAGAGCTGAAATTGATGGCCATTTACTGTCCAAGCCTTCCCCTGGAAGTTGTAAGCCTTCAGGCTTCCAGAATAGTTCCATCAGACAGATTCTGCCAGTGCAATTGTTGTCCAGGTGGGGAGACAGATTCCTGGTGCTTCCTACTCCACCATCTTCCCAGAATCTTCTCCGATCCAAAGCCTTTTGCACAACAGTGGGTGAAACAGTCGGGGAGTGAAGAAGGGAACTTCCCAGGACTCCTTGACACAGGAGCCCCACTCACCACTCATTGTGGTACCAAAACCTGTTGGTGAAGCCCTGACTTGGCGGCAATTAGATTGAGAAAACAGAACTAGAAGTGCAAGAGTTCATGAGACTATGGAAGTTGGAATGTTTAAACAGCCTTTATGTAAAGAAGCTGTGTCTCCTTTACCTATTGTTTTATGGGAATGGATATTATGTCCTGCTGGGAATATTTCCCCTACCTGGTATTGTAAACTCCAAACCTGTAGATGGAGTCCCAGCGGAGGCCACATCTAGGAATGTAAGGGTCGATTGAATTAAGGTAAAAGTTCTACTAACTGGAATTCTACTAATTGGAATACTCCATCAGACTTTCTGTGAAGTGCCTTTTTTACCTGAGTGCAATTACAGGGATTGACACTGTATCTGACTGGGGAATGTTTCCCTAACTAGTACTGTGAAACAGAAGGTGTGCAAATCCTCCCTTCAAGCAAGGTTACTTGGACGTGCTAAACAGGAACCAGTAAGATTGCCCGACTCTACACAGCGTTGAATAGAAGGTGGGGTGCTGGCAGGGACAGAGTCTCTGTGCGGTAGACCTATGTGGATTGTAGACTGGGGCTTAAGGCAAAAGCCTGTGAGCACCCCCCAGCGATGACTACTGGGACTTTCAACTGGAGAGTTTCCAGGGTTATTTACTATCTTGTTTTCAGACATTAATTGAAGCTACCCCATGACTGAAGGACATAAAATGATCTTAAAACCTGAAATACCCATTACGTCTAGGGTGATATCAGAGAAATGCTCTAATGGGGATGGCAGAACCCAGAAGAGTTCCATCATAAGATGGAAATGGTTTTCACAAGATGGCGCTGCCTGGGGAGACCGTCACGAGGAGGGAGCCTCTCTTCTCTGAGGACTGAATCCGGATCTGTGTGAGCAGCTCTGGATTCCACCACTTGGACAGTGAGTGCCCTATTAACAGCTCTCGACTGACCAACAGGAAGATGCTTGGTTTGTGGACAGCAGTTCCAAGGTGAACAGACGACCTCCTCTTTGGAAGGCCACCACTGTGATCAAAGAATGTGAAAACAGATCAGTCTGGTGGGCTGAAATGCAAGCTGTTTTCCTAGCCATGATGGGAGAATTGGCAGTGGGGAAATTCCCTATGTTTTGGTTTCTACAGACTCACGGTTAGGCAGGAGGGCAATGGAAACCTGGCCTGTTAAAGGGATGCCTAGGGAATTCCCTGATGGTCTAATGGTTAGGACTCTGCGCTTCCACTGCAGGGGGCACTGGTTTGATCCCTGGTCGGGGAATAAAGATCCCACATGCAGCACAGCGTGGCCAAAAAATAATTATAATAATTAAAAATAAATAAATAAAATGATGCCGATATGGGACACAGCCCCGTGGAAATAACTATGGAAATTTGAGGGGTGCTTGAAAGTAGGACATGGCACATCAATGTCCATCCTTGGAACCCCCTTCCAACTTAATAAGCAGAGATTCCTATATGTTCCCTTAAGGTGGCTGCCACCTGGGCCCATGAGATAAATGGACATGGGGTCCCTACAGCAATGCAGAGTTGGGCTGAATCTGGACATGGTCCTCTTGTACCCCCTGAGGCACGAAATGCCAATAAGAGCTGTTTTGTCAACAAGCAAGAGACAGAGAATGGAGATAGTTATGTGGCAGATTCCCTGGGGGGAAGGCCTGGATCGTAACTGGCAAGTGAGACTAATGCTGGTATCCCTGAGGGGTACAGATGGGTCCTGCCCGGAATAGACACCGATTCTGGACTGGGCTTTGCTTAGCTGGTGGTAGATGCAAATGCTCAGAATAATATAAAAGAACTGGAACAGAAGATATTGTGACAATTTGGGTGGCCGATCATCATTTCTTCAGACCAAGGACCCCACTTTATAGCCCATAATGTCCAGAGTACTAGTTTGGTAGAGAATTGGAGCAAGCAGTTAAAGCATTAGTTGTTTAAAATGGGACAATTAAAGAGCTGGCTTATACTCCTCCCTGTGTAACACAGGTATGAGTGCGGCCAAAGGAGTGTCCCCACTGGGTAGATGTCTCTGTTTTTCTGGTGGATCTGGGGAAGACAGGGTGGGGAGAAATGCTGGTAAGACTATGTAGTTTTTCCCAAGGGAGGAGGATGCTCATATAACAACTCATTTTTTTCTCTTTCTTTCTTCCCCACATCATCACAACTTTTTTTCTTCCTACCTGGTTCCATGACCAGGGCTGCAAATACAAGTGCCCCAAACAGTGATGATTCCTAAATAAGAGATAGCAACTATACGTCAAAACTTATGTCAGAATTCCTACGGGACTGATGGGGCAAGATGTGCCTTCACCTCCTCTGACAAAATTGGCATTGACAGTGAATGCAGCTATAGTGATGCTGGTAAAGATAGCCCACCAGTTCTGCACCTGTGTGACCTCAACCTCTGTGGACCGAGGGGGAGTCACCGGCTAGACTAGTATAGCTGCCTGCAATCTGGACCAGCACGGTGGCTGAACCTAACGTCCCTTCCAAAGGTGGAAGCATTTGGGTGTCAATGTAGAGAAGGAGGAACAGTAGCTAAGGGTAAAGTAATGGATAAATGAATTATGTCATGAGGGAAATCCAGTATTACATTAACACCTTGAAAGAGGCTCAGAGCAAGAGATGATATTCTCTGTTAGCTCGATTATACCAGATGCCTGGAAGGGTGAAGCCATATGTGCCAAGACCACTCCTGCTTTTGGAACCTGACAAGATCAGACGGAAACTTGAGACCCTAAGCAGCTTCACCCTGGCAGACACTTTCATATGATACGATGATGGACTGGAGTGATTGCTGACAGCATGGGATTCTGTAACATGCCAGTATCTTTCAAGTTGCATATTGTTTTGCTGTAAATGTTCCATGGCTAGACAAGGGGGTGGGCTGCGAAATAATAGAAAATATGTCTTTTGGTCTCTGCCCTTGGTTCCTGGAACAGAATTACTAAAACCCTTGTGATTTCCTAAGTGATAAGAGTACTAGGAGCATCTTTTGTTCTAATATTTGGTCTCTGTCCCCAGTTTCCGACCCAGGGCTCCTAAATCCATCAGAATTTCCTGGGTGATAGGGGTGTCTTTTGTTCTAATGAGGTGACTCTGGGTGGGCTTCTTGATAGCTCCTGGATGGGGGCTGGTCACCTGAAGCTTGGAACTTTCAGTCCCACCTCTCATGCTCCAGGGAGGGAAGAGGGGCTGGATATTGTTAATAATTAATCATGCCTACGTGATAAGCCTCCATAAAAATCCCCAAAGTATGAGGTTCAGAGAGCTTCTGGGTTGGTGAACACATCTACATCCCAGGAGGGTGGTGCACTCCAACTCCACAGGGACAAAAGCTCCTGGGCTGGGGACCCTTCCAGACCTTGCCCGATGTATCTCTTCATCTGGCTGTTCATCTATATTCCTTATCCTATTTTTTTATTACATAAAAAGCTGGTAAATGTAAGTAAGTGTTTCCCCCAGTTCTGTGAGTTGTTCTAGCAAAGATTATCAAGTCCAAGGAGGGGGAAGTCATGGGAACCTCTGATTTGTAGCCAACTTGGCAGAACCTGGGGTGACCTGGAGACCTCCTACTTGTGATTGGCATCTGAAATAGGGGGCAGTCTCGTGGGACTGAACCCTTAACCTGCGGGGTCTTCAATAACTCTGGTTACTATCAAAATTGAAGAATCGTAGGACACCCAGCTGGTGTCACAGAGAATTGCCCGATGTGGGGAAAAACCCCACACATCTGGTGTCAGATGTTAAACATTGTGAGTGCGGGAGTGTGTGAGAGCAAAGGAGAAACACCAGGAGAAGGAGTGGACGTTTTTATTGCATACGGGATCCATTATGGACTGAACCAGTGTCCCTAAATTTGTATGTTGAAGTCCTAATCCCCAGTCAAAATGTGGGGATTTGGAGATAGGCCTTTAAAGAAGTGATTAAGGTAAAATGAGGCCATTAGGGTGGGCCCTCATCCAATGTGACTGGTGTCTTTATGAGAAGAGGGGATATGGACCGCAAAGAGACACCAAGGCTGCGTGGGCACAGAGGAAAGACCACGTGAGGACACAGGGACAAAACAACCACCTGCAAGGTGAGAAGAGAAGCCTGGAAAAATCGACGTTGCCTGCACCTTGATCTTGGACTTCCGGCCTCCAGAACTGTCAGGAAATAAATTTCTCTCGTTGTTCAGGCCACCTGGTCTGTGGTAGTTTGTTATGGCAGCCCCAGCGGATCAGCACAGGATCTCAGTGTTTTAGTTTGCATCTCTAGCTTGCTAATCCTGCTCTCTATTTATTTTGTTTAAAACACACATGGGGTCCTGTGGCTGCCCAGCTTGCGCCACAGACTGAGCTCTTTCACTCAGCCGCCCTCGCCAGGAAGTCCACCCCCACCTTCATCCTCATCCTTCTCCAGCTGCTCGGCCTCCCAGCACCCGGCTCCCCGGGGGGCGCGAGGGGCGGCTGTGCCTCCGGGATCTCCTCCTATTCACCCCTCCTCCGCCCTGCGCTCCCGGCCCGGGGCCGGCGCTCCAGCTCCTGCGAGCATGTTACTGGATTTTTAAATGCCTAGTACCTGCCCCGAAGTAGCCCCCGGGTCTGGGATCTAGAGTTGCTAGGACCACCGCGTAGGAAGCAGAGACCCGCGCAGCCCATGTGATTGGGGGAATGAATTCGGTGGCCACAGGCAGCCGCACGCACGCACACGGGGACCGCGGGCGGAGATGGGCGGGGGGCGTGCCAGGGCCCCGCGGAGGGGGAAGCGGCCCAGCCTCCCGCCGCCCGGAAATCCCCCCTGCGCTTGGCCGGCCGAGCGTCCTGGGGTCTCCGGGAAGGGCGCCTGGGGGAAGGGGAGGACCTCGAGCCGCCCCTCCCCCGGGCCCGGCTTCGAGGATCTGAAAAAGCAGAAGCGAGCGGCGCTCCGGAGAGTCCCACCGGAGCCGGGATCTGGGAAGAGAAACTTGCGGCCGGGGCTGGGGCCGCGCCCCGCGATCTGTGTAGCGCTCGGAGGAGAGGTCCTGGGTCCGGGAGAAGTCCTGCGTTACCACCCGGCCCGCCTCGTCTCGCTGGAAGACCGAAGATCCGGCCCTTTCCCCTGCTGCGCCGTCTTCGCCTAGTGGGTTGCGCCTGACCCACCCCTCCCCGCCGGGCCCGCCGCTCCAGTCCGGAGGAGGGGCCGTCGGCGCGGACAGGACCGGCCCGCATCCCCGAGAGGCGGCCGTCGCGGACCCGGAGCCCGAGCTTCCACCCCCTTCCCGCACCCTCTCAACTCTGCCGGCCCTCCGCTGGACGCCCCTGTGCCCCCCGCATCGTGCTCCCAGGGTCCCGGATCCCCGAGCGGCCCCCCATCCCCTCGCCCACTCCTCGTATCCCGCGCCGGGTCCCCTGAGCCAATCTGGGCCCCTGATCTCCGCCCCCGGATCCCCAGGGCGGCGTGGGTCAGGTCCCCTCGAGCTCCGCCGGCTGCCAGGGCAGGACCGCGCCATGCTCCGGCTCCTGGTTCTGTTGCTCCCGCTGCTGCCGCAGCCCGCGCGCGCCCGGGAGCCCTCCGCGCAGGACGTGAGCCTGGGCGTGGTGAGTGCCGGGGTTCGCGGGCTCCTGAACCTGCAGGGGTCTGGGAGAGGGAAGCCGGGGCCTGAACTCTCGGGTTCAGAGGAAGCTGGGGGCGGTTCAAATGTCCAAAGAGTGACCGGGGATGGAGACAGGGGACCCGAATTATTGGATCCGTCAGGAGGTTCGGGGCCCGAATTTGGAAATCTGGAAAGAGGCTATGGTCGGGAGGTGGGGACTCTTGGGAACAGATGAACAAGGGCAAGCCCAGGGCTGGAGGGCCTGTACCTTGAGATGGGGAGCAGGCCAGTACCCGAGGCTGAGGACTCTGGACTATCCATGTCTGGTGAGAGGTGGGGCTTCCAGGATGGTGGTGGGAAGGGAAAGTCCCATCTCTTCGACCTTTCCTGCTTCCCCTGTTCCCTCCTCTGGTCTAGGACTGGCTGACCCGCTATGGCTACCTGCCGCCACCTCACCCTGCCCAGGCCCAGCTGCAGAGCCCTGCAAAGCTGCGGGATGCGATCAAGGTCATGCAGAGGTTTGCGGGTCTGCCAGAGACAGGCGTCCTGGGTATGTGGCCCCCATCCTCCCTCCCCCAGCCCAGCCTCCGCACCCAGCCTGACCGTTGTTGCCCACCCAACCAACCGCAGTTTCTAAACCTCCCGTGTATCTGAATCATGGGCGTTATGAAATGCTGACCTCAGGTCCCAACTCGGAGGTTCTAAGATATTCCTCTTTCAGTAATTATCAGGAATCTCTTCTTGATAAATGACATGTGAGGTCATTTCAGGCTCCGCTGGTATAGTGAACAAGGTAAATGAGGTCCCTGCTCTCTCGGAGCTAACATTCTAGAGGGAGACACACACAGATCAAGAACAGAAATATGCAAACTAATTTCAGATAGTGGTGAGCATTCTGATGAAAATAAAATGCTAATGGTATTCAGGGAGCTGGTCTGGGCAGGGCAGGCCTCTCTGAAAGATGTCATATGAGTTGGGAGGAGCTCATATGACTCGAAGAATTCATAGGACACAAAGAGGAGGAAACAGCCATGGGAAGATGTGGGAAAAGAGTGTCACAGGCAAGTGCAAAGGCCCTGTGGCAGACACTGGCTTGCATGCCTGTAATGAAAGGAGGACTGATGAGCTAAACAAGAACCTGATCAGGGGCCGTGAAAGGTGTTTCGGTTTGATTTCAAGTGTGATAAGAAACCCTGAGCGGGTTTGAGGGAGAGAGGCAACTTGATGGGATTTGCAATTTTTGTGTGTGTGTGTGATTTGCAATTTTAAGCTTCCTCTGCTTACTGCTGGAGAATGGAGGGTGGGGAGCACCCAGACCAGGAAGGAGGCACGTAGTGTTCGGGCAACGATGTGATGAGACGCAGCTGAATCCAGGGTGTATATTTTGGAGGTAGAGCTGAGAGGCTCATCTGTTGGGTTAAATGAAAGGAAGAGAGAGGTAGAGGGGTCCTGTCCAGCTACGAGGGGAGGTAGGACCCTTTGGGCAACAGGATGTGCTCAATTGCTCTTTTTTTTTTTTTTTTTTTTGCGGTACGCGGGCCTCTCACTGTTGTGGCCTCTCCCGTTGCGGAGCACAGGCTCCGGATGCACAGGCTCAGCGGCCATGGCTCACGGGCCTAGCCGCTCTGCGGCATGTGGGATCTTCCCAGACCGGGGCATGAACCCGTGTCGCCTGCATCGGCAGGGGACTCTCAATCACTGCGCCACCAGGGAAGCCCTCAATTGCTCTTTTTCACCTCAACCTTCACTTGGAGTGAGGGGACGGCTGGGGATGGAGCCAAGCTGGTAAAGGGGATTCCAGGAGATCTGACCTAGGAGGGGCTTGCCACAGACCAGAGACCCAGCTGGCCTGAGGACTTTCAACTTTATCTGGATGTGATGGGGACTTGGGAGCTAGCGTGTGAGGTATGGGCAACCTCCCAGGGGTTCCAGCCTCCAAGAGAGTAGTTCTCACTGCACCCCCAGGGTTCCTTTCTCTAGAGGCCAGCGGCCAGGGCTCAGGGAAGCAGGATGCCCAGATCCTGGCCTGAGACTCTTGAGTCCATCCAGGGCCCTGCAGAGAGTGATACTACCCAGAAGGGCCGTGTCATAGTCTGGTATGAGCTGGCTTCCAGAATTAGATGGCCTGGGTTCCAATCGAAGATGTGGGGCCTTATTGGGCAAGTGTTTGAAGCACTATGAGACTCAGTTTCCCCATGGAGAAAGTGAGCTTGTGCCTACTGGTGACCCCCCTCTGCCACAACCTCTCCCCCAGACCCTGTGACAGTGGCCACCATGCATAAGCCCCGCTGCTCCCTGCCTGATGTGCTGGGGGCGGCGGGGCTGGTCAGGCGGCGCCGCCGGTATGCTCTGAGTGGCAGCGTGTGGAAGAAGCGAACCCTGACGTGGAGGTAGGTCCTGGCGCCCTCACCCACCCTGGGCCTGCCTGACCCAGCTTTGAGTGAGTGGCTGCCTTCTCTCTCCTCGGCCCCCCTCACTTGCCCCTCCTCTTTCCAGGGTAAACTCCTTCCCCCAGGGCTCAGTGCTGAGCCAGGAGACAGTGCGGACCCTCATGCACCATGCCTTGACCACCTGGGGTGTTGAGTCAGGCCTTGAATTCCAGGAAGTGGGTTCTCAGGACCCGATGGAGCCTGATATCCTCATCGACTTTGCCCGGGCCTATCACCAGGACAGTTACCCCTTCGACGGGCAGGGGGGCACCCTCGCCCATGCCTTCTTCCCTGGGGAGCACTCCATCTCTGGGGACACTCACTTCGATGATGAGGAGATCTGGACTTTTGGGTCAAAAGGTACACTCTCCCCTCTTCTGAGAGATCCTCTCCCCAGATCTGTCTGTCCTTAAGAATTAAGTTTAAATTACCTTTATTTATGGAGGCTGTATCAGTTGGGCTTCTCCAGAGAAATAGAACCAGTTGGATGTGTGTGTGTGTGTGTGTGTGTGTGTGTGTGTATGTATGTGTAGAAAGTGATTTATTTTAAGGAATTGGCTCATAGGATTGCAGAGGCTGGTAAGCCCAAAATCTGTAGGGCAGGCCTGCAAGCTGGAAATTCAGGTGACTTGGTGGTGCACTTCTGAGTCCGGTATTTGCAGAACAAGCCGGCTGGAAACCCAGGCAGGATTTCTACGTTGCAGTCTTTGAGGCAGAATTCCTTCTTCTCCAGGAAAGCTCAGATTTTGTTCTTAATGCCTTCAACTGATTAGACGAGGCCCACCCACGCTCTTGAGTGCCGGGGACTTCCTGGAAGTGGTGACTTTGTTTGTTCCACACATATATACTGAGTACCAACTAGTGCCCAAGGTTCCACTCTCCCGGCGTATGCAGGGCAGGGGTGGGGTGGGGGTGGGGGAGAGGGGACACATAAGAAAGCACAAGCCAGTGAGCTCTCTGAGGCCAGGGGAGTCACGGGTGGGAGCACTGGGGGGAGAAATGGCCTGGGACATTTGGGGCTGGAAGGCAAAAATATGGTGTTGGGAGGGGACTACAGAGGCTGGAGGGCAGGTCTCACATCACGAGGGGTCTTGGACAGCACATGGTGGGGTCTGGATGATAGGATTCTGAAGGCAGTGGGAACTGTGGAAGGTTTTGCATTCTAGAAATACCACTGGCTGCCGTTGGGGGCAAGATAGGGACAGGGAGGCAGGAAGCTATCTTGGGGTCCAGGTGAGAGATGGTGGAGGGGATGGGAGTGGGGGCAGAGGGCAGTGGGCAGCTCTGAGGGGAGTCTAGTCAGGATGGGCAAAGATTGGGATCTGACTGGGTTCTAGGGGTGAAGGGGGGTGAGGATGGTTGGGTACCAGCCAGGTTTCTGGCTCAAGGCCCCTGGAGGATGGTGTCCTGTTAATGCAGGTGGGAAGTGGGGGAGGAGGAGGAGCAGACTCGGGAAGGCAGGGGTGAGTTCAGGTTGGGACGTGTGCCTGCAGTGCTGGTTGGCTGGTCAGTGCAGGTGGTGCATTAGTGGTTGGGTATCTTGCACTAGAATTTGGATTCCTCCAACTTAGGTCAGGTTCCCCAGAACTGGAGCTTGAGAGGAAAATTCTTGTGCAAGCAGTTTTCGGGGGCATGTTCTCAGGGGAAAGGGAAGCAGGAGAGGACTGGGGAAAGAAGCTAAGCAAGGATGTGGTCTCAGCTGGACAGGAGCCTGACCCCACAGGGAACACTGGAGCATAAATAATGCCACAGGGCTGGTTCTGCCTGGAGGAAGGGGGCCCAGCTCTTCCAGCCCCCCGCTCCCCACATTGATCAGCCACTGGCTGCAGACTGCTCAGGGAAGGGGAGGCTGGGCCAGGAGGGAGAGCCATTTCCTGGGGGAGGGGGTGGCCGGAGGATGGGCACACAGGCTCTGTAGAGGATTTGGGTGAGGTGCAGATCACATAGATAGACAAATCCACCATAGGGAGGCTGTGTAATGCAGCATTTAAGCTCTCCGGGTTGAAGTGGAACTCGAGCCAGGGTTCTTCTGCCTGCTGCGTGTATCAGTTACTTGACCTCAATGTGCTCAGTTTCTTCATCTGAGAAGTGGGGATAATAATAGTATGTGCTGGTCCCATGGGCTTGCAGATTAGACGAATAATTCACCTACAGCTCTCAGCACAGAACAGGCTGTTCACTGCCAGCTGCTATGAGCTGGGTCTGGTGGCAGATTTGAGAGTTGGCAGTACTTGGGGGTAAGGTTCCAGGAGAATGTAGAATGTGACGATCAAGTTCAGAGCTGTGGGGCGTCCCACAATTAAGAGGAGGGTGGCAGGGAAGGAGGAATGAAAGGAAATGGAGAAAAACCAGGCTGAGGGCTTCCCTGGTGGCGCAGTGGTTGAGAGTCTGCCTGCCGACGCAGGGGACACGAATTCGTGCCCCGGTCCGGGAAGATCCCACATGCCGCGGAGCGGCTGGGCCTGTGAGCCATGGCCGCTGAGCCTGTGCGTCCGGAGCCTGTGCTCCATAATGGGAGAGGCCACAACACTGAGAGGCCCGCGTACCACACACACACACAAAAAAACAGGCTGAAAGGTGACCAAGAACAAAAGCAAAGGAGGAAGTGGACAGGAGTGAGCAGGGCAGCAAATCATCCAGTAAGTTATTTATGCCTGGATCTGGCCCTCTGGGGACAAAGTGACCTTAGTGCCCACAGGCTTGGTGGGTGGCGGGAGAATCTAGACCACAGAGGCGTGAGAGGAGCTGAGGAATTGAAGGCTGAGTTCAGACCACTGACCAGAGAACTTGTTGGGGAGGGAGAAGGGATATGGATGGGGGGCAGACAGGTCCAGGGGGTGTCTTAGGATGAGGGAGTCTTGAGCACTCAGGGACAGTGGATGAGCCAATAGAAAGAAAGGGGTGGGGGATGGGTGCATGGATCATGGATTAATGGATGGATAAATGGATGGATGAACGGACACACGGATGGATGGATGGACAGCTGGATGCATGCACGTATGAATGCAGTGATGAACGGATGGGTGGGGCATTGTTCTTGTCCTGGAGGAGGTGAGCGAGGCAAGGACCTCTGCCCAGGGCACTGCAAGAGGCAGGAGGTGAGCTGGGGGAGATGAAGCGCTGTGCCCGATGCACAGGAAGTTACAGATTACACCAGCGGCCTGTCTTGATGAAATAGGAAATGCATTTGTCAGCATTTGTCATCTAAGAGTTGGGAGCTGGGGCTGGGGCTGGGTAGCGGGCTGAAGGGGCTATGAGTCTGGAATTGAAGCTGAGTGGAGAGAGCAAAGGAGCTGCCCACTGAGGCTGTGGGCAAGGATGCGAGGAGGTGCTGAGGACCCCCAGAGATGGGCACCGGGAGTCTCATGTGGCTGGATCTGCATGGTTGTGTAATTTCCCCAGCTGAATAGCGTGAGAAGGTTGCAAGAAAGGGGTGCGGCCAAAGGAGAGGCAAGGCGGGGTGGGGGGGAGTGGTGAGATATGAAAAAGATCTACCCAATTAAGACACCAAACGTCCTGTCCTCCAATTTCTTAGAAAAAGCACTCAGTGCAGTGAGAAAATCCACAGTCAACATGGGAATTCATCAGTACTTACGAGTTTGACCAAGACATCTGAAATCATTGCTGAGCTGCAGGACAGCACAGCCAGGGTACCAGCTCTGTCATTTAACTTGATCTCTCTGTGCCTCAGTTTCCTCACTTGTAAAATGGGGATAGGAGGTAGAGGTTTGTGAAAAGTAAATGGGGACAAGTGTTTGCTACTCTGCTTATGACTCACTCATTTCATCCTTAGATTCTCGCCTAGTGGCCTTGAGGGGTGGAGAGAAATTTGCTTTTCAGTTCACCAGGTTACTTCCAATAAACCCACATGCAGCACTGCTCACTCTAGTTAGAAATTTCCATGAAGTAGATCAACATCTGGGGAAATACGTACCTCTAGGCGGGGCTGCTTGCCTCTCTTGCTGTCTCTGTCCCTCCTTGGCCTCTCACTGGCTCAGGAATCGATGAGGCGCTGGGGTTTGGCCAGCAGCTGGGAGTGTGGAGAGGCTCGGTCCTGGCACCTGGGCTGTCCCCCCAAGGAAGAGGCTTCTGTGGTCAGAGAGGCTGGGCGCCAGGGCTAGCAGGCTGTGGTTGGAGAGTCCGTGCTAGAGCTTTGTGTTCTGAGAGGGATGAAGTCTGCAGTGGTGGGGAGGGAAGGCAAGGACCCCAGGGAGGTGGGGGTGGGGGTGGAGGCTGTGGGAGAGGGAGATGGGGGAGGGAAAATAGAGGACTGAGGGGTTGTGGGCACTGGGGCGGGAGGTGAACCCGGGACGGCAGACCATGGGGTGGGAGTGGGGCCATGGAGTCTGACCAACATTCCCCATAGGTGGGAGTGGGAAGGGTTTGGAGGGGTGGCGGGCCTCTGCCAACAGACTGGAGCTGTGAGAAGGGTACTCCAAGGGCTGGAGCTCCCTTAAGAGAACTGCACACACCCTAAGGTTCCTGATTCCCCCAGAATGTTTCTGTATGTTGCCTTCTTGGGGGAAGGGGCTTCGTCAGTGTAAAGCTGCTCCTTCCTCTATTCACACTGTTTCCTCCTGCTCTTCCCCCAACCTGCTCTGTGGCTCTTTTCAGACTGGCACTCCAGTATCTAGCACGGCCAAACAAGGCTACTCAAGAACATTTACCAAATAAGTGAATGCAGAGAGGAAGGATAAAATGGCTGGGGGGGTGGGGGCGGGTGTCCGGGTAGAGGAGGCCATGGCCACCTGTGAGGGTCTCCTGGTTGTTTCTGCCCAGCAGAAGGCCCCATTCCCCGGGGCCTGGGGGTGCTAGGGGTGGGGGTGGGGCACAGCTCCAGCCCATTCTCCCTCCCTCCCCAGATGGCGAAGGGACGGACCTGTTTGCCGTGGCTGTTCATGAGTTTGGCCACGCCTTGGGCCTGGGCCACTCCTCAGCGGCCAACTCCATCATGAGGCCCTTTTACCAGGGCCCGGTGGGCAACCCCACCGAGTACCGCCTGTCCCAGGACGACCTCGAAGGCCTGCAACAGCTCTACGGTACAAGGAGCGATGGGGCGCTCGCCGGGTAGCCTCTGCAGCAGGGTCAGGGGACTCACCGCTCTCTAACGGTTTCTCCACAGGGAAAGCACCCCAAACCCCACTTGACAAGCCCACAAGGAAACCCCTGGCTCCTCCTCCCCCGCCCCCTGCCCTGCCCCCGGACCGGTGAGTATCTCTCCTGCTGTGAGGCCTTGGGTGAGCTCCCTAACCTCAGGGTCCTCCTACACGAGATGGGCAGGTAAGAGTCCCTGCCTTGTAGGATGCCGTCCAGGTTAAGTAAAGGGAGAGGGGCCCCCCAACCCTCTCTGTTCACCTCTCTTTTCCTTCCCAGCCCCTCCCAACCCGTTCCTGATCGATGTGATGGCCATTTTGACGCCATCGCCAACATCCGAGGCGAAACTTTCTTCTTCAAAGGTAAGTGACTTCGGACCTCCCCGACCCCATATAGTTGGCTTCCTACCCACTTAGAGTGACCCGCCCGCCGGGGCTATGAGGTTCGCAGGGATGCGGGACTTTCAGTGCTAAAAAGGGGAAAGCCCTGGATCAGCCGGTCACCCAAGAGCCACTGCAGCCTTGATTTTCAGATGGACCTGCCCAACCTGCGGTGGGAGGGGAAACCTAGCGCTGTGTTCGAGCCACACACTGCGGGGTGGGGGGTGGGGAGGAGACCTCCTGCCGTCTCATCTCACGCCCACATGCCCACCCCTTCTTCCCCCGTAGGCCCGTGGTTCTGGCGCCTCCAGCCCTCGGGACAGCTGGTGTCCCCCCGGCCCGCCCGGCTCCATCGCTTCTGGGAGGGGCTGCCGGCCCAGGTGAAGGTCATCCAGGCCGCCTACGCCCGGCATCCGGACGGCCGGATCCTTCTCTTCAGCGGTGAGTGGGGCTCGAGGCGTGGCTGGCTCCGGGCGTGCGCAGCGCCGCTCACCTGCCCCTCCCCCCACCCACTCAGGTCCGCAGTTCTGGGTGTTCCAGGACCGGCAGCTGGAGGGCGCCGCGCGGCCGCTCACGGAGCTGGGGCTGCCCGCGGGAGAGGAGGTGGACGCCGTGTTTTCTTGGCCGCTGAACGGGAAGACCTACCTGATCCGGGGCAGGCGGTACTGGCGGTACGACGAGGCCGCAGCGCGCCCGGACCCCGGCTACCCGCGCGACCTGAGCCTCTGGGAGGGGGCACCGCACGCCCCCGACGACGTCACCGTCAGCAACACAGGTGGGAGAGAGCGCCCGCGGGGAGAGGCCGAGGGATGGGGAGCTAGAGGACGTCCCGGGGTTTTGGAGAGCCCTGGGGAGAGAAGCTACACGGGGGGAGGGGCAGGCCTGGACCAGCCCCTGAAGCATCTGCTCCCTCCCCTCAGGTGACACCTACTTCTTCAAGGGCGCCCACTACTGGCGCTTCCCCAAGGGCAGCGTCAAAGCCGAGCAGGACTCCCCCCAACCAATGGGCCCTAAGTTTCTGGACTGCTCCGCCCCCAGACCCCCCAAAGCGACCCTTAAGCCAGGAGCCTGCGACTGTCAGTGCGAGATCAGTCAGGCGGCAGGGCGGCCCTCCGTGGCCCCCCTGCTGCCCCTTCTGCCTCTGCTGGTGGCGGGCTTCGCCTCCCGCTGAGGGGGGACAGCCCGCCACATGGAAGGGACCAGATCTCCCACCGCGGGCCCTCTGTCCCCGGAGGCGGAGCTCAGCGAGGATGCACCTGGGCGGATGCGGGTGGAGTTAAGCCCTGGGAAGGCCAAGAAGTGGTGACAGGACTAGCCCTGGCACTGAATGCCCCACGTGTTTGGCCTCCTAGTTCTCTCCTTCCCCTCCCCTGGCAACCCGGACTCCGGCCTGGCTTCGACCCCGCAGGACTCTTATTTTCCCGGAATACCTAGCCTTTCCCGGAGCTCAGCCGGCTGACTCCCTGCAGCCTTGGACCCGCCTGACAACAGCAGCTGTCCCAAGCTGTTCGGGTCTTTACAGGACAGGCCTGCCCCGGACGCTGAACCCCAGGCTGGCTCTCCACCTGCTGCTCTGACGTTTCTCACCCTGCCCTGCGTCCATGAAGTCCCAGTCAAGCCATATTGGTGGGGACCCCAAACCCAGCCCTGAGACCACCCCTGAGCACCAGTGTCCCAAGTTCTGGGTGGACCTTCTTTCTAGTCACCACGCTGGTACCAGAAATGCCTACGTTCAATAGGACACCATCCTGTCCCTAAAACGCCTCTCCCCACCTCCACACCTGAGCCTCTACCACCTCCTTCTGAACTGCTTGGCTCCATCAGCTCAATGCTGGTGGAAAGACAGTGGACTGGTCCCTTCTTAGTCCAGGGTCACTGGCTCCTCAGCTTTCCTGCGTGATGAGTGAGTGGAACCTGGGCCATCTCATTGACCCCACTGCAACCTCCCCCCTGCCCACTATCCACAGAATTCAGGATCTAAATCAGTGCCTCTGCAACTATGCTTTTGGAATATTACACAACAGAATGACCCACTAAACTTAAAAATGCAGATTCCATGCCCTCGCTCTGAATGCTCACTCTGGGGCTGGGGCCATGAATCTGCATTTGAACAAGCTGGGGTGGGGGTGGGGGTGGCCCTGCTGGGCAAGGGAGCTGGGCCAGCAGCTGTCATCTCTGTGTCTCTGCCTTGTGGCTTTTCTGTGTCTCTGCCATGTTCTCTCTCCCAGGGGCCAACCCCTTCCTGTTGTCTACAAAGCCCAGCTGATGGCCTTGGTTGAGAGAGGTCCACCCCCCATGTGTGGAGTCACTTAGCAGCCACTTCTTTGGTTGGTACCCAGCTTCAGCGGCCCCACAGTGCTGCCCAGAGCTGAGGCCAGTGGGGATGTTGCCCACCTCGGTCACGAGCAGGAGACCAGTAGGAGGGCGACAGCCAGGTGTCTTCAACCAGCCTGGAACCTGAAAATTCAAGGCCACCAGAAAGCCATCTGGGCCTCTGTTAGGATCCTTGTGAAGTATGAGGAGGAGGAAACTTGTATTTGAAGAGCCTGTCAGCCCCACCAGGAGGACAATAAAAATGACGGGAGAGAAAGCCCTTCGTTTCTTCTGAGCACTGATGGAGCTGGGGTGAAGTTCGGTGGCAGAAACTTGACAGACCCAAATCACTCTGATTTGCAGAAGAGGTTGGAATCCAGCATTGATGGGAGACAGGGTGGATGAGAATGAATGGGAGGAGGAACCCAAAAGTTGGTTGAAGGGAGCCCAGAGGAGGGATGTCCCATGTGAAATTTGAGGCTGCTTTCACTGCTACAATGGAAACTTCTGCAGCCTTTAAGACTTCATTAAGTCTGCTACACAAAAATGCCACATTAAATTGAATTATATTATTTAAAGAACAGTACAGTCCCATAATAAAAATGTAAAACTTTTGTGTTTCAAAGGAGACCATCAGAAAAGTGAAAAGTCACCCCAGACACCCTTGTCCCTTGTATACCCCCTTCTTCATACACTCTCTCCCTAAATGCAGATTCTTTAGGTCCAAACAGGCAGAGCTTCAGACTGCAAGTCAGCTCTTCCAAAATGACCCTGCAGCAAACACTGCAGGATTCCACCCAATGGGGTCTCTGGAGTCAACAACTCAGGGACCGAAGTGGATGTTGTTGCCAGGGGCAGTGGGAGGGGATGGGGAGTGAGAATTTCATGGTTGCGGAATTTTGGTTTTACAAGATGAGAAGTTCTAGGGATGGTGGTGATGGCTCCACGAGAAGGTGAATATATCTGATGCCTCAGAAACGTGCACTTAAAATGGTGATGGTAAAGGGTATGCGACATGTGTTTTATTTCACGTACAATAAATTCTTAAAAAAAAAAAAGTGAAAAGAATGGGGAATTTTTTTTTTTTTTTTTTTTTTTTTTTTTGTGATACGCGGGCCTCTCATTGTTGTGGCCTCTCCCGTTGCGGAGCACAGGCTCCGTACGCGCAGGCTCAGCGGCCATGGCTCATGGGCCCAGCCGCTCCGCGGCATGTGGGATCTTCCCGGACCAGGGCATGAACCTGTGTCCCCTGCATTGGCAGGCAGACTCTCAACCACTGCGCCACCAGGGAAGCCCGGGGGAAAATTTTTTGCAAATGATATATCTGATAAGGGACTTTTATCCAATATATATACACTACCCTGACAACAATAAAAAGACAAATAACTCAATTTAAAAATGGGCAAATGGGGCTTCCCTGGTGGTGCAGTGGTTGAGAATCCACCTGCCAATCCAGGGGACACAGGTTCGAGACCTGGTCTGGGAAGATCCCACATGCCGTAGAGCAACTAAGCCCATGAGCCACAACTACTGAGCCTGCGCGTCTGGAGCCTGTGCTCCGCAACGGGAGAGGCCGCGACAGTGAGAAGCCCGCGCACCACAATGAAGAGTGGCCCCTGCTCGCCGCAACTGGAGAAAGCCCTTGCACAGAAACGACCCAACACAGCCAAAAATAAAAAATAAATAAATAAATTTAAAAATGGGCAAAGGGACTTCCCTGGTGGTCCAGTGGCTAAGACTCCACGCTCCCAATGCAAGGGGCCCTGGTTCAATCCCTAGTCAGGGAACTAGATCCCACAAGCATGCCTCAACTAGAGATTCCGCATGTTGCAACAAAGATCCCTCATGCCGCAAGACCCGGAGCAGCCAAATAAATATTTAATTTAAAAACATAAAACCTACTATTTAAAAAATCATTAAATAAAATAAAAAATAAAAATGGGCAAAGGATCAGTGTATACATTTCTCCAAGGAAGACGTACAAATGGCCCATAAGCACATGAAAAGATGCTCAACATCCTTAATCATCAGGGAAATGAAAATAAAAATCAGAGTGAGATACCACTTCACACCCACTAGGATGCCTAGAATCAAAAAGACACAGGGGGCTCCCTGGTGGCGCAGTGGTTGAGAGTCCGCCTGCCGATGCAGGGGACACGGGTCCGTGCCCCGGTCTGGGAAGATCCCACATGCCGCGGAGCGGCTGGGCCCGTGAGCCATGGCGGCTGGGCCCGTGAGCCATGGCCGCTGAGCCTGAGCGTCCAGAGCCTGTGCTCCGCAACGGGAGAGGCCGCAACAGTGAGAGGCCCGCGTACCGCAAAAAAAAAAAAAAGACATAATAGTAAGTGTTGATAAGGATGTGTGGAAGTTTCATACATTACTGCTGGGAATGTTGAATGATTTGTCATTTTGGAAAATAGTCTGGTGGTACCTCAAAAAGTTAAAAACATAGTTACTGTATGACCCAGCCATTCTACTCCTAGGTGGAATTCATGAGAAAAAGCATGTCCACACAGAAACTTGTACATGAATGTTCATAGCAACATTATTCATAATAGCCAGAAGGTGGAAACAACCCAAAAGTCCATCAGTGGATGAATGGAGAAACAAAATGTGGTCTATCCTTACTGTGGAATGTTGTGCAGCCATAAAAAAGAATGAAGTCCTGGTACACGCTGCCACATGGAGGAACTGAAAACACTATACCGAGTGAAAGAAGCCAGATACAAATGGTCACATACTGTATGAGTCCGTTTATATGAAATGTCGAGAATAGGCAAATCTACAGAGACAGAAAGTAGATTAGTGGTTGCCTGGTAACGGGCACTGGAGGATGATGGCTTAGGGGTGCAGAATGGCTTTTTTTTTTGTTTCTGGCTGCTGGCTGAGCAGCGTGGCATGAGGGGATCCGACCAGGGATGGAACCCATGCCCCTGCAGTGGAAGCAAGGTGTCCTAACCACTGGACCGCCAGGATAGACCCCCAGAATGGCTTTTTGAGGTGATGAAAATGCTCTGAAATTGATTGTGGTAGTGATGGTTGAGCAGTTCTGTGCATTGAATTGGGCACTTTCCTGGGTGAATTGTATGGTATGTGAATTATATCTCACTAAGGCTCTAAAGAAAATGGCTCAGTCCATGATGAAACACAAAATGCCTTCAGATGGTGGCCTTCATGAGACAGACATGGGGGGCAGAGTGTCACGTCTCAGGGAGCCAGGTTTCCAGAGATGAAACCAGAAATACGACTTGCAGCTGAAGCAGGAGCTGCTCCCTTCTCTCCCTCTCACCCTGGAATTCAAAGATGGCTCAGGGAAGATCTGGACTTCCTGGGTGGGGAAAGGGGTTTTCAGACAATTGAATGGGCTCCTAAGGGTCAGGGGATGTTAGCTGGAGTCCAGTGAACCCAAGTGACGCTTTCACCAAGGAGTGGGACTTGTAGGTCTGTCCCTCTTGGGCTCACACGAGTGGCCCCTAAGGAACCCTGTTCTTCTTCAAGGATATTACAGTTTGTAGTTTGCTTCCCCAAATTCATATGGTGAAGTTCTAACCGCCACTACCTCAGAATGCAACCTTATCTGGAGATGGGTCATTACAGAGGGAATAAAGTTAAAATGAAGTCCTTAAAAAAAAAAAAAAAAAAAAAGTCCTTAGTGTATGCCCTAATCCAGTATGACTGGTGACCTTATAGAAATGGGGAATTAGGAGACAGATACATGTCTAGGGACGATGCCATGTAAACATGGAGATGGCTGTCTGCACGCCTAGGAGAGAGGTCTGGAACACATCCTTCCCTCAGGGCTCTCAGAGGAACCAAGCCTGCAGACACCTTGATTTCAACTTCTAGGCTCCACCGGGAGAGAATAAATTTGTGCTGTTTAGACACCGGTCTGTGGCAGTTTGTTAGGGCAGCTCTGGGTCACTAATACAGTCAGCAAGGCCATGGCCGTGCTGGGCTGTGAGGAGCTGTGGCTGCAGCTGGGAGGCAGGCCAGGCTGTGAGAGATAGGGCCAGGGAGAGCCCTGCCGTGGTGGCTCTGGATTGAGGGGCTCCCAGAGGGCTCAGGGGCATCCCCCATATCTTAACCCGCAGCTGGGTGACGTCCTTCTCCAGAGCTCCAGAAGATTCTTCAGCCTGCTGTCTCAAGTCTGGACTTTCCCTGTGCCCCTCCCCTCTCTTGAGCTGATGGGTCAGGGGTGAGGCCCATGCTGGGCTCAGAGAGTCCCATCCCAGCTCAGGGTGGAGGGGCGACAGCCAGGGACCCTGAGTGTAAGGGAAATACCCTCCTCAGTCCAGGCCCCTCAGACCTCTGTCGCCTCGTCTTTCCTTTCTTCTGTCTCTTCCCCTCTCTGTCTCTGTTTCTGTCACACACACGCAAACACACACAGCTGACCCTGCATCCTGCCCCAGGGTGGCTCCACCCTCCCCCGCCCCTCTGTCTTCTGCTCTTAAATCAGTGGATCTCAGGGTCAGCAGACAGCTCAGCTGGGGCTCTGGCTGGAGGAGCTCAAGGTCACTGGCTCAGGAGAAGCAAAAGTTGGGGGAGGGGGCTGATCTGTAGCCAGAGGACTTTCCAGGGTGGCGGGACAGGCTGCTTCTCTGAAATCCTTTTCCTCACACCTGTTCCTCCCACTAGGTCACAGCAGCAGAACCCGGAGCCACCATGTGCTTCTCCAAAGTGAGTGAGAGCGAGTGATGGGGGGGAGATTGGGCCCTGGAGTCTCATTTCCCCCGTGTCCCCCACCGCCACCAGCTCAGCCCCCACCCCTGCTGATTGGTCCACATGCACCTGCCTCTGTCCCACCCTCCCTGGGCCCTGGGGGAGCCACCGGGGAAGCAGAGGGTCAAAGGCATGTGACCTGTGCCATCAACAGGGCCCAGTCTCACAATGACCCTGTTTGAATGCCCTGCTGTCACCGTCCTGAAATCCTGCATAATTGTGGACAAAGGACCCTACAGTTTTCTTTTGCTCTGAGCCCTTTCCTTTATGGAGCAAGTCCTGTTGTGGGCCAGTATTCCTGTCTGGGAGGTCAGTTATGGGGGGCAGCTCTGTGTGCGTGTCTGTGTGTGCAGGAGCACAGAGGAGTTATGGGACAAGGGTGTCACTTTAGGAATTAGACTGGACATGCTCGTGGGGGAGCTGGAAATGGAGGGTCTGCAGTGTAAGAGGAATCAGCCATCCCCTTGGACCCCGTCTACACCCCGGAAACCCAGGGGTTGAGGCTGGGCAGTGCTTTCCGAGAAACTTAAAAATATTCTTCTCAGGTGCCTGGCCTCACTGTCTATTCTTTCCCTTTGGGGTGCCTTCCCCCCCTTCCCCCACCACACCACTCCCCCCACCTCAATTCTGAGGGTGACCAGACCAGGGAGCTCTGGGCCACGCAACACAGGGATCGGGGAGTGGTCTTTGTGGGATGACCCAGGGCTGAGTGGTCAGGCTCAGTTAGAGGGACAGGAGATTGTTCCCACTGGCCCCCAAGGTGTTTTTTTGCCCCGTTGTGTGTAACACTGGGCTGACAGGGTGGTGCCCCTGGTGACACAAAGGGTGCAGACAGGTGCCTTGCACACGTTGTGAGTGGCACTGACCACCCAGGGGCCGGAAGGCAGTGTGGACAGCGCCAGATTGGGACCACAATGTGGAGTCTTGTGAGGGTCTGTGGGGCACCTCCCACCTCCATGGTGGAGCCAAGTGTCTGGCGGGGAGGTGCTGGGGCCCGGGGGCCTGCAGGGTCAGCGGTCAGGTAGAGCCTCAGACAGGAGAGGACAGTGCCAATTCCTCCCTGTTCAGCTCTCACCAGGACCACGGAGGGCTAGGGATCTGGGAACCAGGTTGACCCTGCACACTCAGTGGCAATGGTTCTACTTGTGTGTGTGTGTGTGTGTGTGTGTGTGTGTGTGTGTGTGTGTGTGTGTGTGTAGCAGGTCTGGGGGAGTTGGCAAGGTCACATAAGCCTGAGTGTCACTGTTACCTCCACAGGGAGTCCCAGATAACATTGCTTCTCTGAGGGCCAAAATGGCAAGAACCTCTTCCCCATGTATGGTTGGGGGATGCAGGAGGCCTGGGTTCTGCTGGGTGAAGCTGAGAATGTCCTGGCCCACCTGAGACGCAGGAGGGAGAAGGACCAGGCCTCTTTGTCCCAACTCTGTCTCTCTTCACAGCATGAGTGTGTGGACGACTTCTGTGATGACCTCCAAAGTCAACCCCAAGCAGAAACACAGGTGGGTCAGTGCGCCCCTACTCCCCTTGCCTCCCCAGTTTAAGTGTGGTGGGTGGTTTCTGATGATGGTGATGATGAAGGTGAAAGCTCAGCACCCAGTCTTTACACTGGACAAAATTCCTACCTGTGTGGCAGGTGAGTGCACAAGTGGGAGATACAGAGGCCCAGGGATGCTGAAGGAGGTGTCCAAGTCAGAGGGCAATTGATGGCAGGGCAGGGATGCCAGATGCCTGGTCCCCAGGCACATGGGCTGAACCTTCACCTTGCGGTGAGGGGCCACAGATGAGAACAAGCTGGGGCTTGGGGTTTGAGACTGAAAGTGAGAGTGGGTGGGGGGATTTTAAACGGAGCGTTGTTTTCCCAGCAGGTCGAGTCAGTCCTAGCAAAGCTGGACGTGAGTTTGGGCCTTGCCCGTCTCCCAAAGAGTAGCCCCCAGGGTTGGATCAGCCAGGTTATCTGGGTTGCTGTCTCCCTTTGGACCCATCTGGATGCATGGGAGGCCACAGTGAGGACCACAGACCTCAGCGGCAGGGGCAGGTGTGCAGCCTCCACACTTCCTCTCCCCAGGACCAACTCAGTGAGAACCTGCTTGAAGCTGTGGATGCCGAAGTTCACAACAATGTACCGGTGAGTATGAACCACTGTCACAGCCCCTTGCTTCCCCTCCACCTTACTCTCTCTCGCCGTTGGCACTGCCATGTGTGCACATAGCTCCCCTGAGTGGGGGTTGGAGGGATGGCCCCTGAGAGCTCGGGAGGTGCAGCCTTGCTGGCACTGGCCTCCCCGCCCAGCACACAGTGGCCAGAGCCCCGCCCTGAATTCACAATGATGAGCCCCGTGGGCCTGGTGCTGGGCTCAGAGGCCAGTATGCCAACAGGCAGGTACACCTCACCATGGTGGTTTACGCCTTGAGGGGAATTGAGGGGCCAGGCCCCGCCTCTGGGAAAAGTCCTGGTGTCCATGGAGCTGTTGGCAGGAAAGCAGGCAGTTTCCATTTGCGGGCTTCTGTGTCCCAGACTCTCACAAAGGCTTGGAGGCCTCAGCCAGGGTCAGGACCTGGGGCTGCATCCCCGCTAGGGGGGGTCCCTGAACAGCCTCCCATCCCTGCAGGAGTTCACCCCCGTGCTTGGTGAAGTGCAGCAGGAATTCCGTTGTAGAATCCGGAAGCCCTCTGGTACTGACAATCCAGGAGACCCGGAGAGGCCCTCTGGCTCTGACAATTCAGGGGACCAGAAGCCGGGAAAGAGCTTTCCGGACATAGCGCTGAGGCAGTTCTGAGAATGACTGCAGAAGCTGAAGCGGAAGTTTTTTGTTGCGCTTGCCTGCCTGCGGCAGAAGGGGGCTGCCGGCCTACAGGCCTTGCGCAGTGCGGTTGAGGCCATCTGGGGAGAGTTGAAGCGTTTCTTCTCCTCTGTGGGGCAGGTCTTCAAGAGCCTCATCTAGGTCTAGGGAGCCCCACAGGGTCCGGGAGGAGATTGGCCTCATGTAGAAGCCAATTTGATTTTCCCCTTCTCAGTAAGAATCTTCTGAAGCGACCTTTGCCCTCCTGCTCACCCTTGACCCATCCTTGCAACCTCCCTCACCTCCTGTCCTTCAGGGAGGACACCACCATCAAGCTCTCCCCACCTGGGTTTCTTTCTCCAGGTCTGACCTGCCTGTCGCTGTAGTGCTGAAATCCTAATACAAGTTGATTGAACCAAATGGAGTGCCTGTGGGGATGGAGGCTGGGGGCCCAGTGGTGACAGGCAGAGTTCGTGGGTCAGATGGACCCAGGTGGGGGTCCTGGTTCTGGGTGAACAAGGACAAGCCACCCGCCTCTCTAATCTGTAGCTAGGGACACTGGTCAAGGACTGACTCATGGTGAGGACCGGACCATCTCAGGCCACTGCATTGCTTATCGCGGTGCCTGAGGCATAGTAGGTGCTCAATAAATGCACACTCCTGGGGCACAGGGAGCTCCGGGGAGCGGCTTTGACCCCTCTTTTCTTCTCCTGATCTCCCTCTTTGGGCCTTCACCACTCCAGCTGGGGCCTCGCAGCTCCTTGATCAGAGCCCCAGGAGCCAGGGAGGGTGCACCCAATCCTGGGCCAGGAGGGAAGGCAGAGTAGGAGAGGTGGGAGCTGGGTCTCTGGGCCTGTGGCCTCCCTCACCTGGGCCTGCAAATGCAGACTGGGCGATCCAGGAGCAAGGCCTGAGGGCCAGCCATGCTCACCATCTCTGAGGCCAAATTCCCCTACCCCCAATCTCTCCAACCTCACCCCACGCAGCCCTGACTTCCTGCCTCAGGGTGCTCACAGAGTAGCTTTTCCTTTGGGGATTCTCTGCAACCCACTCTTCCTCCCAACCCCTGAAGGGCTGGACCTTCCCTAGGCTCAGAGCTTTCCCTCCCAACTGTGCCTGAGAACCACCTCTACTTTCCCCAGATTTGGGGCTGGTTCTTCAGTTCCTTGAGCTTTGGTTGATGAGTTCACTTCCTTTCCACAAGCATTTGCTAAGGAGCAGTCTTGTGTCAGGTTGGTGGAGGGGCAGTAATTAAAATATAATATTTTTTGAGTGAAAAGTGACAGACAAAAGCAGGTGTATGTGTGCTCTGGAGCTGGGGTGGGCAGCTTTTCTCTCCTGTATTTTTAGCAGAAGTCACGTGATTTAAAATCTGTCCACCAGAGGGAGAGGCAAACCAAGTCAGCCTGATGGGCAGGAAGAAGGTGGGGCAAACCTACAAGGCAGCTTTGGGTTTAGAAGAGTATGATGGTTAGGGGTCCCCAACTGTCAACCTGACTTGGCTGTGGGCAGGTTAGTTTCTCCTGTTAGCATTTTCAGTTAGAATTAGTTACCAGTGTTACAGAAGAAGAGGTTTCCTGTATTAATCCAGAATCTGGGATTTTAAGTTTTATTCATTTTAATTAATTTAAACAGCCACATATGGCTGGAGGATACTGTATTGGACACGGAGGGTTAGTGGTAGACTCCAGAGGAGAAAAAATTCCTGGGTGAGATTGGTTGGCCTTACCAAGAGCTGCCTGTGACAGAAACCCTCCCCCCAACTCCCAACACACACACACACACACACACACACACACACACACACACACACACCCCAGTCTGAGCCTTTTCAGGTGGGAGGAACTCCCCCTGGGCCTGCTCCCATCCAGCCTGCTTTGAAGGGGTGGGGGAAGGAGAAATGCATCACCGTGATACAGTGGGGAGGGTAAAAGGTGGCATTTTGGTGCACTTAAAAAAACATAAAGAGGGACCACTTTCAAGAAGGCTGTTTTACTTTGGGTATTTTAAAATACATTCCTGAGGCCTGGAAGAGTTCCCTGTGGGGACGGGAAGAACTACAGTGCAGGGTCGGTGGAGCCAGAGAGAGGTGGCTGGGGTGTGGGGGCAGCGCCATCCACTGCAGCCTTGGAGGCCAGGCACGCTGGGGAGATGCACGCGGGACAGACCTGGCGGAACCAGGCGAAGCTAGTACAGGGTCTCCCGGGCGTGGGTTCTCAGGTGGCGTAGCAGGTGGGAGTTGCGGCTGAAGCTGCGGCCACACTGCGCGCAGGAGTAGGGCCTGGCCCCCGTGTGCACCAGCATGTGCCGCAGTAGGTTGCAGCTGCGGCTGAAGATCTTGCCGCACTCCAGGCACTCCTGGGGGGGCTCAGCCTGCCCAGACACGCCCTCGTCCCCTGCCCCGGCGTGCGTGGCCAGGTGGCGCTGCAGGTGGGCGTTGCGCCGGAAGCTCCGGCCGCACTTCTGGCAGCTGTAGGGCCGCTCACCCGTGTGGCTGCGGCGGTGGCGGGCCAGGTTGGAGCTGTTGCGGAAGCGGTGGCCGCACGTGTCACAGACGTGAGGCTTCTCCCCGGTGTGGATGCGCTGGTGGCGCGCTAAGTGGGCGCTCTGGCTAAAGCCCTCGCCACACTCGCTGCAGCGGCAGGGCTTCTCCCCGGTGTGGCTGCGCCGGTGGCGGGCGAGGTCCTGCGTCTGGCTGAAGCTCTTGCCGCACTGGGTGCAGTGGTGGGGCCTCGGGCCGCCGTGGGTCAGGAGGTGGCGGGCGAGGCCGGCCCTTCGCATGAAGCGCTTCCCGCAGTGTGGGCAGCTGTAGGGCTTCTCGCCCGTGTGCACCCGCTGGTGGCAGACCAGCTGGGAGCTCTGACTGAAGCTGCGGCCGCAGACCTGGCAGGAGAAGGGCCGCTCGCCTGTGTGCACACGCCGGTGTGCCCCCAGGTGCTCGCTGCGCCGGAAAGCCTTGCCGCAGTCGCCACACACGTAGGGCCTGAGCTCGGGCCCGGGACGCAGGCTGCCCGAGCACTCGGAGCACTGGTGGCCCTGGTCCTTGGCGTGGATCCGCAGATGGCGCTTGAGGCTGGAGCGGCGCTGGAAGGTTTGGCCGCAGTGGGAGCACAGGACGATGGCCAGCTCGGGGGGCGCTGGGGTCTTGGTCTCTGGGGCGCCTGGGGGCTTTTGGTCCTGGGCGTGCGCCAGAAGGTGCTGCATGAGGCGGGCCCGGCGCTGGAAGCCCTGACCGCACTCGGCGCACAGGAAGGCGGGCTCGGAGGAGTGCGTCTGCATGTGTTTGCTCAGGTGCGAGCTCTGGCGGAAGCGGTGGCCGCAGAGGTGGCAGGTGTGCGGCCGCTCATCCGTGTGCGTGCGCATGTGCAGCTTGAGGATGGAGCTGCGGCCGAAGCTCTTCCCGCAGCACAAGCACAGGAAGGACCGCGCGCCCGGGTGAGACCGCAGCTGGTGCGTCTCCAGGCGGGCCAGCTGTGGGAAGCTCACCCCGCAGTCTGTGCAGATGAACTTTATCTCCGGCTCCGACTTGGGGGCGCCCCCAGCCACTTTGACCTCGAGAAATTCACTCCTGTCGGGAGGGGACATTTCTCCACCGGGGCCGCCCACCTCAGGGCCCGGGCCGAGCGACTGAGTGTGGGGCTCTTCTGCCACCCTGGGACTCTCTGCCTGAGACTTTGCTGAGATGGCAGCAGGCCAGGACACCTCTTTCGGTTCCTCTTCTTTAAACACCTCGTCTGGGGTTCTGCCTCCAAATCCTGGGAAAGAAGCAGAAAACAGGACAGGTCAGGCCTTTTCGGAGGCGCTTCTGGGAATTGCCAGAACCTCAGTGCCTGGAAGCAGAAAGAATCCCAGAATCCTGCAAAGCTGGTAGGTGGGCAGAGGGTGGGTAAAAACCAAATAACATACAGTTTACCGTTTTAAGGTGTATAATTCTGGTCCATTAGGTCCATTCAAAATGTTGTGCAACCATCACCACTATCTATGTCATTCTCCCAAATGGAGACCCATACCCATTAGCAAGCCCTCCCGTGACCACCTATTTTATTTTATTTTAGCTGTTGTAATTAATTTTACTGAAGTACAGTTGATTTATAATATTGTGTTAATTTCTGCTGTACAGCAAATGGATTCAGTTACAGATATATTCTTTTCCATTATGTTTTATTAGAGGATATTGAATATAGTTCCCTGTGCTGTACAGTAGAACCTTGCTGTTTATCCAGTCTATATATAATAGTTTGCATGTGCTAATCCCAAACTCCCAATCCATCCCTCCCTCCCACTCCCTTCCCCTTGGCAACCACAAGTCTGTTCTCTATGGCTGTGAGTCTGTTTCATAGATCAGTTGATTTGTGTCATATTTTAGATTCCACATATAAATGATATCATATGGTATTTGCCATGACCACCTTATTTATTTATTGGCCATGCTGCACAGCTTGCGGGATCTTAGTTCCCTGACCAGGAATTGAACCTGGGCCCACGGCAATGAAAGCCCAGAGTCCTAACCGCTGGATGGCCAGGGAGTTCCCGACCACCTATTTTAAAAGCTCAAAGTTTTGGGGGTTGATGATTAGACGCAATGAGCCTTAAAATAGCCCTGTATAGATACAGACATATCAATATATATCTATGTAGATATATATATATCAGTATATATTACCTCATCAAAATAGTCCATTTTTTGCCAAAGAGGTCAAAAAGTCAGGTAGGGACCACCCCTGACAGGCAAAGAAAAACCCTTCAGTGGTCATAAACCCGGGAAAAAGGCCTCTTACCCAGAGGATGCACAGGCCAAGCCTTCTTTGCTGGGACATCTTCAAAGGTTAGGGACTCCTGTGACCAAAGGAGGGGCAGAGATTGTTACTAAGTGAGGAATGGGGCTCTAGGACCTGAGGGGGATGAAGAACTTTCAAGGTTTAAATTAAGAAAAACATGGATTTGCTAAAACTTCAGAGGCAGAGAACTGAGGGGACCAGTCCGGCTCACCAGCACAGCTGCTAGCTCCTGATCTCCAGAGTTCTCCTCTGGCCACAGCTCAGGGCCCAGCGGGGCTGACAGCACTGGGGGAGAAAGAAAGAGCTGTTAGAAGCCAGTCCTACCACCATGTGGCTCCGAGGACGTGCACCCATCATCAGGGCCTCGTGACAGGCATCTTGGCTCTCCCCCATTCCTGTCAACTAGGGAGGCTGCCCCCTTCCTTCCCCACCCTCACCGACCTGGCCCCTCAGCTCCCACCGCACACCAGGCCTCCACCTTCCTTAGGCCCCAGCTCCTCACCGCTCTCTTGCGGGGCCTGCAATGTTCTCTTGGGACCTGGACTCAGTGGCTGCTTTGAACTTGGGGGACATCTCCAGGCCCCCATCTCAGCAGGCTTGGAGGGCACTGGCTGGGACAGCGAGAGTTCCTG